AATTAAAAGATATTGCTCAACTTATTGAATAATTTTAAATAAAATTTTATTCAAATCGTTAAAAAATTATATAATTCTTTGTTTTATCATTTTATGATTTATTTGATAAATGATATCTATAATTCCTTATATAAAGTATTATTAGTAGAATATTCTGATGTTTAATATCATTTAAATAAGATTTTAAATTCAATAGAAAAATTATTTAATATAAGTTTGGAATTTTTAAATTTTAAATTTTAAGAAAAATTAAAATAGCAAATCTAAAGAGAAAAAAAAATACCATTTTAAAATATATTATTAATTATAATTTTCATAAAAAAAAATAATTAAAAAAATAATCAACTATTTCAAATTTGACATAAAACTATTGAATTTTCTATTAAAACATCATCTCAAATTCTAATATTTTGAAGTTCTAATTAGCATTTATAAGTAGATTGAAAAAACTTATAAATTGTTAAATCATGCCATAGCTTGAGTTATTCCATTTATCCTACTAAGTTCTTTAAATTCTAAAATTTTAGACCTTGAAATATAAAATAAATAAATACTATTATATTGCAAAAATATTATATTCTAAATTTAAAAATTATAAACTAAAAAACTCAAATTTCTGTATTTTAAATTTTAAATATAAATTCTAAAATCTTTGTCTAAAAACTTATGATTTTTTTTATTTTATATTTTAGTTATTTTTAATTGTTATATAAATCTAATTATTAGATTTACTTGAAAAATAGACTTATTTTATTCATGCATATTTATAATCAATCAATCAATTTGCAGTTTTATTTAGCTATAAATGTTTAATCTTTTTATTTTGATTCATTATGCATAGGAGTCTTTGTTTCATTTGAGTAGGTAACATAATTTTTCTTTCTAAATTTTTTCTAAATTTTTTATTGATATTTATTTTTCTTATTTTTCTTCTTATATGAAAATTTTATCAATATACTTTTCATGTATTTTTATTTAAATATATTTTTAAGATATATATTCTTTAATTAGAAAAAAATCAATTTAAACTAGTTTATAATTTTATTTATCAAAAAATGTATAATTACACCAGTTATAATTTTTATAATTTTTTCTTATATTTAAGATTAAAATAATTATTTCTAGATAATTTATGTAGTTTTTTTTATTTTACTTTCTTAATAGCAATGACAATATAATTGATATGCTTTTGATTTGCTTAAGTCTTCACTAGTCTCAGCAAAGTTATAAAATATTAGATGATGTCATATCTTGAATTATATAACTTATCTAATTATGTATTCAAAATTCATTACTTATATTTTAAAAAGTTAAAAATAAATAAAACATTTTATTCCATTCAATTTATTCAAATATAATTCCAAAATAATGATGGTTCTTAAATATTCTAATTTTTTATTTTTCTTTATTTTAAAAAATAATTATGTGAGTTTTTTAAAAAACTTGGTTGTGAAGATATTATAATTTCAATAAGAATTCGGTTTAAATATTTACAGTATTATTTTTTATGTCCTTATTCCAATTCTAAAGTGATTTTTTAAATCCTTTTTAGAGATGTCTAAAGGATTGGGATAGATCTAAAGTATTTTAGTTATAACTTCTATTTTTTTACTCTTTTTTTCTAATTATTTATAATGTGGTTGTAAATACTCTTGTATATAAAATATAGTAACTTAAAACAGAACTTTATACATATATATATATATATATATATATATATATATATATATATAATCATTGGTATTATATGTGAGATTAGTAAATATTAGGATTTATATAAATTAAAAAACTTCAAACTTAAATTCTTATTAATAAAAAAACTATAATTTTAAATAATAATAATAATAATAATAATAATTTAAATGAAATAAAACTAAATAAATAAATAAAAATATATAAAATCTAAAACATGGTTATGATAGTAATATGTATAAATCCTTATTAATTACTAAATAATATACCAAAAAATCCTCTAAATTCCTTCATTCCAATAACCTGTCTAAGAAATTATATGATTCTAAATTTTTACTATAAATATATTTAAATATTCTTAATATAATTAAGAATATACTTTTATAAGTGAAAGATTGTAATAAGAATGTTTGCACCAAAGAAGTTAATGGTAGCCATCTTCATATAGCACTAATTACCTTAGACGTTAATAATTCATAGCATCTTAAAAGTTAATAAGAAGTAATTTATTACATAAGTAAGTATTTTTGTCTTTATTTTTAAAAAAATTCAAATAAAAATTATTAAACTTAATTAAATTCTATATATCAATGAACTATTAAATAAAATTTTAGATATATAAATGAGCATAATTAATTTTAATCTTTGCCATAGAGATAATAAAGTTTATACCACAATATTTACTAGCTATTATAAACAAGATATAATTTACACCACAACTTTTCTTAGCTGCCATGCTATTAATGTTGTATTATTCAAAAATTCTAAATCTTAAATCTTAAATTTGGTATTAAAAAAATTTAATAATTTAATTTAGAGAGAAAATTACGTCAATATTTATATTTAAATACTTTTATTAGTAATTTATTACTTAAATACAAAAAAATTAAATATATATTTTTTTGGTATAAAGTAGAATATTTTTATTGTAGTGGTTAGAAACAAGTTCATCTATTTTTCTTTGTAAAAATATTTTTAACTATAAAATAAGATTTTTTAAAAGCAACATTTTTTTAATATTTAGTGATATGCAATAAATAAAATTGAACATTTATAGAAGGCCAAATATATAAGATGTGCAATATCAAAGAATATGGTGTAAGTCGTATCAATATATTTTAATTTATAGATATGTTACAAAAAAAAATTAAAAAATTATATAAAAAAATATTTAATTAGAGAGTCTATTTGATCATCTAAATATTTATTAAGATTTAGAAAGGCTTATAAGTAAGAAGAGTCTTGTTAAGTTTAAGTCATTAAATTAAAGTATTAGCAAGTCTTGGAAGCAATTATCATGGTTGATTTAGTATTTTATCTTAATTATAATAATTAGAATTTAGTTATTGAGATCAATATTTAAATTGGTCTTCTACTTATAAATAATATCTATTGAAAGTTCATAAATGTAAGGTGGTAGGTAGAAGAAGCATGAGAAAGAGACCCCATGAATTTTTAGTCATTTATGTTGAAAACAGGATTTATTTTATTGTAATAACAAAATCACCAATATAGGATAAAATTGTCTTAAACTTATATAATAATCTTTAAAATACTATAGGATTTTTTATAATTTTTTTATAATTTATTTAGAAGAAATTTTTTAAAAATTAGAACATGTTTTCAACTCTTTGATAATAATGATTTTTCCATCTCAAGAAACCATGATAAAGAAATAAAAAATAAAATAAAATAAAATACATAAAATAAGTATATATGAATATATAAATGTGCTATCTTAACATAATTGATTCTTTTTATAAATTTTAAAAAAACATTTATGTTTGTTCAAGACAATCTCTTACTGATAAAAATATGCAAGAATTCTTATAGGTGAGGCTCTAAATATTTATTATACCACTCCAAAAAAAAAATTGCATATTATAATAACTTATAAAATATAAAAAATTATTTAATTTATATGTAGTATTCTTTGAGGCTTTAGGCATCCTTCCATCTTTCTTTCTTTGTCTCCTTCTTTTACAACCTTACTAAAAACTTTCCTTTTTTACCATCACCAAATGACATAATAACCAATATATTGTCATTTATATAATTTTGATATGTCTCTGCAACATTTAATTGTTATATATATATATATATATATATATATATATATCTGCATAGTTTTTCATCTTTAACATTTCCAATATGATTTTTTTATTTTAGATTTATGTGAGCACACTAATAATATTATTAATTAATTAAAATAAACTATAAATTTAAATTTTTGATTTGCAATCCCACTTGCCTTGGTAATGTCTTGGATGCTCTTTAAAGGAAAATAAATAAAACAAAAAAAATCAAAATAAATAAAAAATAAATTTTTAATTTTTAATTTTTAAAAAATCAATACGTTCTAACGAATGACATATCAGTTTTCTTAAAGTTAAAAACTAAATCCAGAAACCATAAACTCAACAAATACAAAATCATATTAAATGATTTGTAGCCTAATGTTGGTGCACTCAAGGGCGGTGGTGACCTTCTAACAAACAACGATGGATGAACGCTAGCCGAGCAAATACGGATGAACGACAACCGAGACGAAGAGAGATGAATATTAACCGATAAGCCCTGGGCCTTAAAATGCCGGTGTGGGTGGGGACCATCCCCTCCATCGTCTCCCTGCTACATGTGCCCGCCACGGACCCAACGAGGGGGATGGCATCCACGACGCTGTGCTTACGCATGTCGGTGTTTTCCTTCTTCGGCATGTGGGTTGGTGCAGGGACCTAAGCACATCTGGTTGGGTTGGGTCTTATGGAGGAGGGATCTAAAGCGCGCTCTGACGCCCCGCCTGGCTCTTAGTGTGCTGCCGTAAGGTGTGCGACATCTGCGACGTGCTAATATAATATAATTTCATATGGTACGCCGCCGGAAATCCTGATAGGTTCCTGACTACACCCTGGTCTGGATTCTTCACGGAGTACTAAGTGCTCCTGTGTTTATTCCAGAAGGTCTTTCATCTCAAGCAGGGTAACTAGAAACAAGTCTAGGTGGAAAGAGGAACATAGGATTTCACTGCGGATTGATTATTTCTTCTTTCGTCCAGGGACTGTGCTTAGAAGACTGCGACATTTCCAGAGATTCTTCTTCACAGCCATTCTCCACACACGGGAATAGTACAAATTCTCATTGAGAATTTGCGATGAGGCAATGAAAATTCATGAATTCGGTGAGAAAAAGTGCTGGGTGATTCATTTAGACTTACTCGAGCCTAACTTCGAAGAAGTTAACACGCTAGCTGCACGGCCATGGCGGTAGCCTCTTCTCATTTGTGATGCTCAAATCGTCTGCCATACCAATGAGGATTAAAGCAAGCTCTGCGTTTTAATTGAAGATCCTGTTGTACAAAGTGAGGGTCGCCTTTCACTTTCAATTAACTGAGAGATGGTTCCAGCACTCAACCTCATGCTGGTAAAAGGCGGATTGGATCCATCTATAATTCTCCTTGGCAATATACTAGGTGGCGAATTGAAAACAAGTAACCTAGCGATTTTCAGAAACCCGAAACGCATCAGAATACTCGTGAATTAGGTTCTATTTGCTTCGTTTAGAAGTGCTAGATTTACCAGAGAGTCTGTCAAAAAAATAAGCCCAGGTTCATCAGATGCAAATGACGATTTCTGTAAGCCCAACGAGCACAATAAAGGGCTCTGAGACGGTTTGATTCCTCGCTAGTTCATGTCCAACATTAACATAAAAATTATCTGATGGGAGGACCGAGGACAGCCGTATCTGTGGAGGATGGTTTCTGTTACGACGTTGCATCTAGGGCTAGAACACAGAAATTGTCGGTAAAAACCTAGCAGGTTGACGAGTGTTGAAAAAATGATGTCCAACGATGCGAAACTCAAGTGCGCCAAGCGTGAAACTTCCACGAAACTCTACGCAGACTACCGAATTACTCCCACGACACAGCATAGTCTCAGCCTAAGTTGTATACATCCGGCGAGGAGGGCTTACGTCCGACTCCTACAGATCCAGCGCAGATGTATCCGTATATACAGATCCTTCGCCCACTTGGTTCTTCTGAGCACCCTGTAGGGATCACAATTAAAATCCAGTTCTACTGAATCTTCTTCTCCTTGGCAGGAGCCCTAGGAATCTTTTGCAGAACAGCATCATCCAATTTCTTGAAGTGAACATTGGCAGCGTGGAATGCATTCGAGGCATGATGGTCGATTATATCCTCATACTTGTCATAGACAAATGGAACAACGTGCAACAAGATAACGCCTGCCGTCGAAACGCAAAACATTAGTATCGTGAGATACCTGTGGGATGAATAGTTCCACCAGGTCAAATTAAACCAATCAATTTAGAATGAAGTCGACGACATCATAAAACATACCAATCCAGATGAGGGTGAGTAAGTTGAACCACGAAGCGACTGTCGAGACCACCCACAACAAAGTAACAACCTGAACAAGTGGTAACGGCGTCAGACTGAAATAATTGTATGGCAACCTTGGAATCTGAAAAATGGCCACTTAGCAGAGATGTGGAACGAGCAAGAAGACTAGAGCCTACAATAAAGATTAAAGTCAAACAGGTACCTTGAAGAATAGCTTGAAGTCGTTGCCTAATGCAACGTTCCGGGAAAAGCGTAGAGCTTTGTTAAGTTCATCCCGGACACAGCTGGCTGTTCTCATCACGAAGTCATCAGACAAAGAAAATTCTGGAACCGGCGGTCCGGCCCTGAAAGCAGAAAAAATATTGCACAGTTAAATACCGGTTTCTACATGGAATCCTGATCCATTCACACACAATACCAGTAGCTCATCACTGATTGAAAGAAGAAACCCACCGGTTTAAAAGAGATGAAACGTTCGCCCAGACGAAGAGAATAGCGAGAGAAAACATGAAAATATTCGACAAAAGCGTGAGTAGTGTATATCCTGACTTCTCAAGGAGGCACCACAGAAGGGTGGATCCGACCAAAACTGCAACAGAAGTGTTTCTGTCTTTCCACAGGAAAACATCAGCAGCTGCGTGAAACAACAGACGCAAATAGTTACTACGACAAGGTTCCAATAACCGTGCGATGAGGCATTTGTGTCTATCGCTCGAACTCAGCAAAGATTTCAATCCCAGAAGCACCGTCTCAACCCAAACTGGAGGATAAAACAAGGGGCTTGTAGAACCATAGGTCACTTCGGTCTTGAGATAGCTACTTCGCACGTCAATTTCACGCCGTTCTCCAGTGAATACTCAGAACTCTAAGGCTTCATGCAGTCTTACCTCGGCCTCCACCTAATATTTGATGTACGTTTTTATCCTTAGTCAAAAATCGCTTCCCAGGTCCATACTCCGAGGCAGGGGCCGTATTAGAAGCAGGCATTTTATGAACAGTCTGAGTCACAGTGTCCATGTCAGACTCCGCAGTGGAATGAGTGAGATCACTTCGTTCGGACATGGCTGCTGCTTGCATGCGTTCGTCTCACACTGCAGATCTGCTGATTCTAAATCAAAGCCAAAAAAAAGTTCGTGAGTGCATGAAAACACGCAGACCGACAATCCAAGCAACCGACCAGCTTGACAGCTTCCCATGGTGTCAAGCGAAACACCACTACACATTACCGGCTCCCACAGAACACCACGAATTCTTCCGTACTTAAGGACAGCTTCCTCTGCAGGTAGGATCCAGCTTCAACCACGTGTAATAATCATAGACAATACACAAATTACAGCCACGAAGGACCCAGCACTCTCGTAGAAAAATTCTTAACCTGATTGAACTCATCACAACCCAAGCCACCCCAAGAGCTACACCCTTTCTCAAAAAGACAAAAAAAGGCAGAGAGAGGCTCGACCTACACTGCGCGCACCAAAACCCGATGTCATTACCCTCTACCGACCAAACCGTCACGCAACCCAACAAGAAAAAAACGCAACGATATTACTCAGTACCTGATAACAGGGGCATGGAGCTCAGATCCAAGAGAGAAACTACACACGGAACACGAGGCAAAATCTCACCTCGCAGGCTTTACGCGAAGAGGGCGAGAGCGAGATCCAGCAAGAAAGGCAGCCTTGGCGAACCAACACGTTGCTTGACGGCTAGCGTGCAGGTGAAGGAACACGAAGACCGAGAGCGAGAGAGAGAGAGAAAGAGAGAGCAGGAGAGAACGGCGATGACGCCGAAAAACCTAGCCTCCGAGCTAACGGAGAGGTAAGTTGCGGCAAGCAGATCCTTTAAATAGAAACAGAGCTCCATCGCCAACTCCCGCTTCGCAATAGGACCCCACCCCACTACACCTCATGGGCCCTACCGAAGGAGAGAGGTGGGTCCTATCACCGTGCTATGATAGCTTTCGAGGAAGGAGGAGGGACCTTTGCGGACGCTTTCCATTGGAGGGACCGTCCCTTCACGCCGCCGGTTGGAGACGCAGGCACACGTCATATGGCGGCGGGACGGGCGAGACGGTTGCGTCGGGGCAGCCGCGCTGCGGGCTCGGCGGCTGGAGCGGTTGGGGCGACGGAGATTTGAACTTTGAACTGACTCGATCGTTGGGGTGATTGGACGCCGGTCAGTGGATTTATTCTTTCGTGCTGCCCAATGTCCCGCGGGCAGAAAATGTGTGTGTTGCTGGTGGTATGATTTTTCTGGGAGAGGTGAACTTAGGGTTTGTTTTGCAGCTTAGTGGTAAGTTTTGATGCACACCATAAGACCACGGTTTATTTATATATATATATATATATATATATATCAAGTGGTTTAACAGTAATAAATCATAAAATTATAAAATTATAAAATTATTTTTATGTGTGTGCGTGAATGTGGAGAACTATGATATTTTTTCATCCAAGCTACTGGATGCAAATTCACAACAAAAAAAAAACATTCAAAAAATTGCTACCTAAGCTCCAAAAAAGAATAATTTACAATATATTTTAACAAAATTATTAAAATAAATAAATAAAAATAAGTTAGTAGGGAGTTTTTGGAATGGTTTTTTAAAAAACCAAAAGAATGTGGAATGTTTTAGAAAGATATATATATAAATATGCACACACACTCACAAGAACCCAAAAGTTTAAGTCGTGAAAGTATTTACAGCCGATAGCAAGTATCAACTGATTTATTGCAATCATCTTTAAGTTTTTAAAACTTCTAAACTATGTTCAAAAGAATCACAGCTCCAAGAATATTATAGATTAAAACTTGGTAACAAATAAAGTGATGATTGTTGTACTCTGAATTGTACAATACAAGCCTCATTTTTTTTGTTTTCTTCTACCATGTGTGTATGTATATATATATATATATATATATATTTGTAAACATTATCTATCTCTTATTGATGTTACTTTTCTGAAATATTTATTTTAAAGTTAACTTTCATGACCACTTTGTTTTTTCTACAATATTTCGGAAGTATTAAGTAATTTTTGCAATGCTTTTTTTAATCTCTGACTTTTACTAAATATAAAAAATAGTCTTCATTGGATAATTAGGGTATCATATGGTATGTCCAAGATTTGATTTGAAGCTGGGAAATTTACAAATTCAAATTCGAATTCAAATTAAAGTTTTACAAGCCTTGACATGATAGTCATATTCATGCAAATTTTAAGATATTAAAGCTTTTGTTGCAAAAATGACAGAATTTTACCAACTGATTTTGATTTGATCAAATTTGATAAGCACTAGTACAATGTTCATATTGGATAAAAGTATCATTTTACATTTGGGTGTCTTGTACTTGAGTTTTTAGTCGTGTGAAATGTTTTATATTACTTAGAAACCAATCTAAATTGTCTTTAAAAAGATTGCAATTGTATAAAAGATGATAGTTTTAGTTTGCTAAGCAACATAAATTTGTACATAAGTTATACTAATAAGCAATACTATTACAATGATGAACCATGTTTACTTTGAAAATAATTAACTGGAATTATTGCTTAGCCATCTGAATTATTTTTAAACAGATATTCATAGATGAGATCAGAATGGCGCTAAAAATTAAAATTTAAAATTTAAAGTAGTAATTGTAACTATCCACTTCACAATGAAATTCTAGATGAAAAACACACCTCATTCAGTAACTTAAAAAAAAAAAATAAATAAATAAAAAAAATGGTTTATTTTATTTTGAATTTCGTTCCTTCCCTCAAACAATGCAAAAACTTGATTAAAATTTGCACTCATGTGTATTTTGCCACTCAAAAAAGTGTTTTAAAGAACACAATTCAACTTCAGTCTCATTTAGCAACTCATGTTGTCAGAACCCGATCTGTTTATTCTCTTTGCAAGAATTTACACAAACACATCAAGAACAGAAACATCTTAAATAAGATTTCAACAGACGTCATATATTTGATGTTTATTTTTAGTGAAAATATTTTGTCAAACAATAACACCTACTCAAAAATATGATACGATTATTTTTATGATTAGTTTACAACATGAACTTACTGTGCAAAGTTTGCTGCTGCAAATTCGAACCATGTATTAGTTTAAGGGCTGATACTCCAATGAAATGTGTCAGAAGTGAGACTCAATAGTGATATGTAAACTAAACCAAAAGGTTTTCAGCTATGATTTGTAAAAAAAAAAATCAGTAATAATTTGTAAAAAAAAAAAAAACATCTTTCAATATATTTTGTCATATCTCACAATATACTTAGGATTGATGAATAAAAATTGCATTGATATACTACTTTTGGTAGTAAATACAAGCTTGTGCATGAGATAATGTTAAAAATAGCAATGAATATAAGATTGTTCTTCGAATAATTTAATAAGTAATCACTTATTTGATGTAGGGATGATTTTGTAGTTTTAATTTCTGCAATTTTTTCAGAAATAATATTTTATTCGATAAAAATTAGTTTGAAACACTTTGAAAATTATTATATCATGCATAATTTTCTTTAAAATATTAAATAGATATTCTTACATTGGAAGTTCCTAAATACTAACAATCATTCAATTATCCAGTAATGAACTACTTTTTAATATTATACACTCTCTAGTTTCTCACTAATATATATATATATATATATATATGTGTTTTTGAAATAATAGTTGAAATACCAATGAAAAATTAAAAACATAACATCATTTGCTTGATTTTTAAGTAGCATTCAGTATTATGATTATGTTGAAGATATAAAGGTGGTCCAGTAATAAATAAACGAATTAGTGATGATTAACATTCATTACATGTTTAAAGAATAATTTCACTACAAAATTCATTAATGCTACAAACCAAATATGACTGTTATATGATCATCGGCATCCGAAATTGGAACTTTCCATGTATCCACACTTAAACCATTGTTTGTTGAAGTTATGCTGTCAACTTTTTTCTTTAACACAATCAATGAAGCAGATTTTAACTTCAGTCTATTTGGATTACTTATGTAGAAGTTTCTTTGTGTAAAAGTTTTTGACGATTGCCTTAGATAGGTTGTGCACACACCAAATTCGTTATGGATTCCAGATTAGTCTCTTGCATTTAGACTTGATTGAAAATTCTATTGCAACTGAAGTGATGGGACAATTCATAAAGTTACAATTCAACTGATGCCAGTTCAGGGCATCATTCCAAGTCTTAAATTATTGCTTTTCTTTGAAACACGTGGTGCATGAACACACGTTAGATTCAAAATCTTATCATATCACCTGAACTGAGACAAATTTCATCCTTTTTCATTTCTGTTTCAAACTTCCACAGCAGGTGTTGAACCTCAATCGTGCAGGCATTGCAACTGTTGTGAACAATCTAAAAACATAAATAAGGTACATGCTCAATAATTGAGTTCACAGTGGCGTTCATTTAAAATCACTTTTCTTCATAGCCGGGGCACAGAAGGTGGTAGAGCATATGAACTCGGTTGTATTGACACCCTAAAGTGGAACAATCACATTAACTCCTGGATGGAAGAGAAAAAAAAGGTCCATGGATTCAATTCGGGAACAATGTTAGGAAGCTCACAAGTCTGTAAGTTCCTTGTCACATCATGAACCAATATAAACCTTCGGAAACTTCAACCTTCTAAGCTAAATCGTGGTAAAGACGAAGCTGTGCGGGGTGCAAAAGGTGGATCCACTTGAAAGGGAATTTCCACAAAAAACCTAGAAAGCATGCGACGGTCGAAAAAAATCCATGGCACTGATTAATGAAGCACCTAACTAAATGCAGCGTATTACCCGGCAATGTACACTTGTTATCCATAATCAGAAAACCAAACCAATAATTGTGTCCTTCAATTGCGGATGAAACATGAAACACACTTATGCAAAAACGCACCGACAATTGAAAAGATGGGCAGCGATTTGTAACACCGGCAGAGCCAGCGTACGTAGTGTCTTTACTTTACAGATGGATTTTTAAAATTACACAGGGTCTCCTCGTATACCCTGAAAAAAGGAAGGAAAAAAAGAAAGAAAAAAAAGGACTGAATACGTCTCGGCATACCCTGCTAGTCAAAGCGTTTCAAGCACAGGACATCAGACGATGGGTCTATGCTCTGGCTACCGAATGGCTTCCAAAGAAGACTGACTTCATCAGAAAGCATTACGGGGTGCTTGACTGCAACAGCCTGCACATTTTTCCCGACAAGGAGTAGCTCTCCCCAAACATAGCAAAAAAAAAAAAAAAAAGAAAAGAAAAAGACGGCAGATATCACAAGCCCCCGGAAAAACATTTACAATCTAGTCTTACTCTCCAAGGGCAGGCTTCTCCTGGCACCTATTCACAGGAAGACATAGTAGCATCAAAAACATGCAGACTGTTGTCATCATTTATGATGCAGAGTTCGGGCGTACATCCCATGTCCCTGCTGAGAATCTCAACCGAAGCTCACAGTTGGCCGATGCTTCTTTGGAGAGTCCACGGGTGCATGTGTCTCATGAAGGATGGTCCACATGGTGTGCACATCGTCATACCCACAAGAAAGCACATCATTGTACAACTTTCCCATGCCGCTTCCTGAAGATTATCACAACCAGGTGTAAGAAAGCAGCTCTTTCCACATTTACATTTGAGCAATTCAAGCACAGACACGACATACAATACTGTATGTATCATTCCCTAACCGAGCACTCCTGCTTGATTTTTGACAGCTTCGATATAGAAAACAAAAACTAACAGATTAACAGCGTATAGATTAAAAGCAAGTATACCATACATCCCATTTCCTTCCGAATATACATCCTAAATAGGCATGGACATGTGTAGAAGAAAAATAAAAACAATATTCTACTTTCGCAGAAGAGTATTTTCTCGGGCGCCTTTCCCAGAAAGGACACGAGCTCACACGGCATGCTCCTTAACGCAAAGCCATTTGGGCTATCAGCTTGGTTATCCCATCATTTTAACTTAGCTTCGTATGTTCAAGCTCCTATACCATGCGACCAGACTCGACGAACGATCTCTATACCCGTTTCTGAGTAACCCAATCACTAAAATATCATACCCACCAGTAATGAAACCATTGCCACATAGTAAACTACAGAGACTTTTAACAACCCGACTGGCTCAGCACAATCCCACAATTTCAGATGATCTACCAAAAATCAGTCCATCGTAATCATAAGTGCACACTCCCAAAATTCTCATCCAGGCCTCTTACCAATCAAATCGAAGTGCAATCAAAACTAAGGACATGTATTCGCAAGCGTCGGAACAGAAGTTTATGCATCACATGACGACAGATTACTATAAAGTGAACCTAGCAGTGGAGTGATCTGGTTTCCTAAGGAATCGAGAGGTTGAATCTGTACACGTGAACGGTACAAAAATTATGAAATGATTCATACAGGAAATTTCTCCACTGACCTCGCTTATGCTTGCGAGGACGCAGCTTGGCGAAAATAGCTTTCCACACCCGTCTGAAAGGGGTCGATACCTTCCGTAGCCACCTCATCGTCGCTCACAGATTTGAAAACAAGCTACCTTCCAAAGTACTCCCAACCAACACTGCGAGCGAGTAGTCAAAGGACTACATGCGAGGGATTCGTAGGATGGTTATCATAATTCTTCTCAATTTCACACCTGACCTTCAAAAATTCCTCAATCCGTCGAAATCGTAAGTATAATGACTGGCAGTTTGTCAAACATACGTAGAATGTCTATTATTCCACAGAAATTCACCAAAGAATTATGAATATTCTTATTCGTCTTTCGTGCAGATGAGCACAAGCTACTGCTGCAGGCAGTGTATGGAGAAAATTATTTCGAGGAACATGCATATCAGTTGATTTGACTTCTGCCTATGTGACCTATCTCTAACGGATTTATTCCTTTCAACTAGTTTACAACAAACGCTTGCAAAATTACATGACACAAGCTACTTTCTGACTGTGACACAATCCACAACCAAAAACCATCACAAATTCGACACAGGCTACTCCACGAAAACACGCTACAAAAGAAAACTCGTAACTACAGGACTATATGCTCGCTATTTCACCACCACTAAACGAAGCGATCTGCGTCACCGCAATTGTAACTACTTACACCACCTGTGACATAATTCAAAAAGAAGAGAGGACGGAGAGATAGGAAACCAATGAAATCCTACCTGCCTCCAAAACACCAACGTAGCTAAGAATAAAAGCGGAGCACACCTCCAAGGCTCACGAACTCAAAACAGCCTAAAAAGGACCTTACAACAGTAACAATCCAAGCCAGACTATGCACAGCACGAAGTTCAAGCGACGAGACGAGATATGAGCACTAGACTACTAATCCAACAAGGAAAGAGAGAGAGAGAGAAATGTCAAATGTGGAAGGCCACGAGAGAGAGGGAGAGCGAGAGTCTTCTCACTGGCAAAATGAAAAGCTAACCAGACCTGATGAACGAAGGGAGAGAAGAACACTACTCGTGCAATCGATATCCCTCAATAAATCTAATAAAACAAAGATGTCGTAGCAACCTACTCCTATTACCACTACTATTACTACTACGACGACGACTACGACGACTACGACTACCACCAGTGTCGTGCGGTTCTACCAACAAATTGATTCTAGCGAGTAGCGAAGAAGTAGAATAAGAAGAAGCGAAACGAAGCGGAAGAGAGACCTGTGGTAGGAGGAGCGGGGGACACTGTAGCCAGTGGGCTTACCTGCGCAGGCTCTCATTCAGCTATGAAGAAGCACGAGGGTGGACCCGCCATAGACATGGTCCTCCTGCACACCATCGCCAACTCTGTGACCACAGCTTCCCTCTCCCTCGTCCTGTCTTTGAACACAGCGCATCCACTGCCCCGCCCTCTCCCTTTGTTTACACTGCCCTTCCCGTCGAGAAACTATCCCACGCTGGTAACCAGGAGGACGAATGAATGAATGTTCATGTTATTTCATCCATCTAAATCGAGGATCCAGGCAGGTCTGATATTCTTTGGTGTACGTGCGACAGAGGGGTGGATGAGGCCAAGTGGAGGCACACACGCACTATTTTTCAAATAGTGTAGCAAACATATGTCGAATTTGTAACCGGATGGGGACAATTGGGGGCGAAAACTCTGTGCACAGATGTCACCCCGTGGATGATTCATTATGGATCATATTCATCTGTTTGGGTATGAACTTGGGGGTAGTTTGGCCAAAGAACTTGTACTAGTGCCCCCCCCCTCTTCATTATTACCACGCGCATGATTGGGACTCCCCATCTGCCCCTTTTGCCTTTTTCACTCCCCCCCTCCCCCCCCCACGTTTTTCGACTTTCTGCCCCCTCGGCCTGCCCCGTGACTGCCCGTTCCTACACCCCCAGTTAGTTTCACTCGTAGTTTAACTACCTCTTCCACCTTGGCTTTTTATTAACCTATAGATGATGGTGTTGATAATAATAGTCATAATAATAAAACCCAGGACCAAGCTTCAGGAAATCACAATCCATTCTGTTGAGGAATTTGTCTTTTAATCTAACAATAATACAATGATGGTCATGGGTTTATTATCTTTTTTATTCTACATGATAATGAGCAGCACTGTAAGGGCAATGGTCAGCAGCTGCTCTTAAACACCTGGTGCTATTGAAAGAATAATAAGAATTGAGGGAGGGGGGAATGAATGGGGATATTGGTTTCTTTTTCTTTTCTCTCTTTGGCATGTGATTGAGGCTGTGTTGCAATCAGTGAGGCAAGGTGGGGGAGGTTGGAATCCCCTCAGGGTCAGACCTATTTTCTAGGCAACCTGTCTGTATTCTATTTTACATATGCTTATAATACATGTAAAAAATATCATAAGCATCCTTTTGTATATGATTTGGTTTTGGCTGGATTGTATTGCCAAAGTGGTATATTGGTAGGTGTTGAGGAGGGGGGGGGGGGTTGTCAACAACACACACACTCTCTCATCCTCCCTTTTTGTCCTTCCTAGGGATGCATACTCTGGATAAGTGTTGGGAATTTGTTGTGTCAACAGGGCAGGGGGAAAAGCAGAAAAAAAACCACCAGAAATACCACCACCCAGGTTTGAGGTTTTGAGGAGGAGAAGGGTTGGTAAGGGAAGGGGTTCTTTTGCTACTGCTTCTAGAATACCTAGCATGCACCAGGAGAAGGAGGAGGTGGAAGTGGCTTGTGTGGCTTGTGTGTGTGTGAGTATACATGTGTATGTATTTGTGTATATATATGTGTCCAGCATGTGTTGAGCATGCCAGGTACAAAGGAGGGATAAATTAGGTTTCATTTGTCATCATACCCCTATCAATACTGCTACTAATGTAACCCACCCAACATTAGGCCTGCCTGATTGTCTTAGTGTAACAGTAGCTATGCTTCAGTGGGTTAGCTTAGTAGTACTAATCAAGGGGGAAAGGAGAGAGAAAGACACTCACTCACCTCGTGCATGTGTGCAAGTAGTATGCTTCTCCACAACCCTTTCCCATTCCTCCCCATGAGAAAGGCTCTGCCAACACCCTCAAGGCCATCACCACCTCTTCTACTCAGGTTAGTGACCCACAACCTTATTATGATCCTATAATTGTCACCACTATCCAAGTGGTACTTGCGCACATTCTCCATACACTTCTCATCCCCTCCTTCAAAGGAATTACTTTTGTGTGTGTGTATATATATAAATATATATAATTGTTGTGTGTGTGTGTGTATATATATATAATTGGGGTGGAGAATAGTAGAGATATTTGTTGTGTTTGTGATTTACAAAAATGAGTTGATTGGCTTTAAAACAGTAATAATAAATGGTAGATTTAAGGCACTTGTGCAATTATATTGAAATGGGTTTTCATTTTAATGAAATGTCATCAAGAATCCAATTAATCCACCACTGTTCAACAAATTATGTTGGATAAGCATTAATCTAGCTCAACAATGTAACTAAAATAAATAAATTCCACTGAAAATAGTGTTAAAAGAAATAGTGGACATCTTACACATCAAAAAACTACTCCAGCATTACTGTATATTACCTCATTTTCACAAACAACAATATTGAAAATTTTATGTTTTTTGAAATTATCATGATTGTTATTGTTGTATAAAATCTTTCCCTTTAGCCAAAGTTTCACCAACAAATAGCTGTACAAAAATCATTTTTAGTGGCATTACATTTCTTATAGGTTTTATATGAAATTTTGGTGCTTGAAATAAGCTCCAGGTGTCATGAATGGGCATGACACCTAGCTTGGCAAAGATGTGTTGATGGTCTTGACTGTGTTGATGCTTGGTTCATGACATATACAAATTATATGTGTGTTTGTGCGTGTATGTGCATATCCATAAATATACATATATTTTGTAGACTAGAGTTGCAGTTCAAGAAAATTTCCAAATCACACTACACAAGTTTCACAACTCAAGTGAACATATTATTACTTTATTATATTTTTATGTTGTGGGTGGTTTGAGCATGGTATTGGCTACTATATTTTTGAAGTAATCATATTGTCTTATTCAGAGGTGGCCATACATGTTGCCCCCCCCCCCCTTCCAATTTGTTCTTTTATGGGAGGCATACACAAAAGCCCATGTCCCCACATTCCAAAATAAATGTAAAAAAACACGACAAAACAAAAGGAACAATTCATTTTTGTTCCAACAGTAGAAATCAAGTTCTACTCCTTAGAAGTGGATATAAATATTTACATGTATATTCATATACACATAGAAACATGTAAACAACCAATCAACCAACTTCAACAACCATTCTGCAAAGGTATAAGAATCTCATCCCAGGAGAGAGAGAGAGAGAAGTTCCAAGGCCCTGGAACATTCCTTCTGTGAAAAAGCTATGAAAAGATTAAAAAAAAGGATCACAGAAACAGGGAAAAAGTAGACATAAAAAAAAAAAAAAAAAAAATGCCTTCAGGATCATGTACACTGAAGGCATCTTTTTTTCTGGACATCACTGCGTTTAAAAACAAACTGAGGAAAGTGAGCTGCTCGTTCGTTCACTCAGCCAACGCATAAATTGTTTTTAGACGAAGTATTGTTTTTTTTTTCGTGCATGGGTGTGGGCAAGGCTCACCGACCTTCGGGCAGATGTGGGGAGACTTTGTGCACATTGCCCGCTGCCCCTCCAGGGGTTTCTAAAGACGCAGGGGCATCTTGGGCAGGACCCAACCCGACCCGGACCGTCCCGTCCCTCCCCCCACTTGACCACAAATAATGCCACTTCCCTGAGAATGATAATTTTGAGAAGTGAGAGGATGCTCCCATTCAAAGGGTCGTTGCAAGTGGCAAGTCATGCAAGAAATGAAAATCAGAGGAGGAAGAAGGAAATAGGAAAGTATCTAATTTGTTTTTGTCTTGAGGAAAGGCTAATTAACGCCGCATAAAATAATAATACCCGGGGCTCGTGGTTCCCAAAAAGGACATGATCCCCCCCCCCCACCACTATTAGTCTGGGTCACGCTAATTCAGGTCGCCAATGGCTGCACAGCGCATTTTGTTTTTCCATGATTTATGAGGAAACGCGGCTTCCAACCCTTTTTTGCCCCTTCTAGGAGTTGTCGGTGATCATGGGGCTTCGATGAACGGATTTATTCATAATTCTTCATCGTATCTATCATTCATCCTCAAAATCATTTGCCGAGGTTTTTCTCCACGTTAGAAATCTGCAAACCGTTTTTCACACTTAATCCCCCATTTGTTGTTACTCAATGATGGTAGATTTGAAATATTTTGTTTCTATTTATTGTGTAACGGCATTCATTCGCTTTAGGTTAATATTTATTCAAGTCTGAAGTTTGGGAAAAGTAACAGAAGTTCTCACTTTTGTATTTATTTTTATTTATTTATTTGTTTTGTTTCCACTGGTGTTCATCATCTTGCAACCAATCATGGAATGTGAAGTTTGTGGCTGTTTGTGGGTGTATTATAGCTTACCATGTCATAGTATTGATGTTCGCATTTGAAGGGCAAGCTGCTTACATGATGCTATAGTTCTTCTCAAATGCTTTTTTTACAGATTATTGCTAGGGTTACTGATTTGTACAACCAAGCAAACCCAATTAATGTGGAATATTGAATATATTTAGGTCAATTGTGGAAAGAGCTTGTTGGGCACATGCCAGAGGGGTAGCATTTGCTTATGTATTATCACTTATTCATAGAAAATACATCAATGACTATATATTCATTATTCATATTTTCAAATCTGGCTCTAACAGTACATTATACTCACACAGAGACTAGACAACTAATATCAAAATTGAGAAAAACAATATACTGTTCAAACTGAACCAACTGTTGTGTTTGGTTGTGAATTTATATTTTTGATGCAACTTTGTGTTGACAACATGCAAACTGATACACTCTGCAAATATACATGCTTATCAACCTTCTTATTATCACAATGATTTTACTCTTGTAGCATGATTGATTTTTCCGCTAGTAATATGATTCTTTCAACTGTTTTTTTTTTTTTTTTTTCTAAATAAACAATTTAAAACAATGTGACTTTAAATCTATTTTTAGTAAACATTACACAAATTGTAAACATGAATAATAATTTTTTTTCTCACAGATCTTCACGTGTGGATTTCATTATTATATTTAATACTTGTACCTCATTATAACTTTCTTACAATATTCTCTGCCTTTGCATGACCCATGTTCCATCAGTAGTGCATAAAAGAATAT